TTCTTACCTTTGACAAATTGCTCAAATTCAAAACTGCTTTATTTGGACATAGGATTACTTTAAACAAATCACTTGTACCAAGTATATTTCATAATTATGTAAAGAAAATCTCAGAAATTCACAATTACAATACACGTCTAGCTTGTAATTTCAACTTCTTTAGACCACAAATCAAAACAAATTATGGTAGAGCTACATTTAAATTCTCATTGTCCAAAATCTGGGAAACCATTGCCACTCACCTCAAGCAGCTATCCTACTCAAACTTTAGCAAGAAGTTTAAACAACATTTACTAAGCTATCAAAAATAGTCTCCTCCTCCTTATACATTGATATGGACTAGTTGACTATTTCAAAATTGGTTAATCAGTCCATAAATGAAATTGCAAAAATTGTAATATTTGTAAATATTTTTTTTAAAGTAAAACCCTCTTTATTTTCTTTAATATATTTATATTTATATTCCTGAAGAAATTTATAATATATATCATGTGATTATTTTTGTTAAATCTAATGTTTGTATTTTATTTAATAAGAGCCCTAAGCTCGCTTTCAATAGGCAGTGGCTAACTCGAAAGCTAAGCTCCTTTAGCCACTGCACACTTTCTCCAATAACAAACATGTAATTCCCCATAATTATCTTTAATCAATTAATAATATTCCTTGTAAAATAAGTATATATGTGTGTAAAAATAAAAATTGAATTGAATTGAATTTGTACCTCAGAAAACAGATGGATCCAGCATGCATGTGAAAAACCGGGTTGTAAACAGGGCTACGTGACAGTGGATGGAAATGAGTACCTAAAAAGATCAAAGTGTTTCCCACTGAAAGTCGAGCTAAGAAAAGATCTTCCAGAAATTTTCAAGTGTTTTCCCAACTCTCCCCTAGGTGGAGGAATGCACCAACCTCCCTTAAAGCTCTGTGCAGAGCATTTCCTAGAGGCAGACAAAGCCGAAACAGAGTACCCACCAGAATACGCCTCCAAGTCAGAGAGTCATTTAAAATCAGAACATGCCATGACAAATAAAGAAGGCTGTAAAAAGAAAAAGAACATTTCACTATTTTACGAAACAACCGCTGGTATGTTAGCCCTCATCAGACCATGTGACATTGTTGTCAGCATGGCAGAGATGTTTACAAGTGAGTCATGCACACAAGTGTTCTTATTTCTTTTAAGAACATTTTGTGGTAACGTTGCAGATGTCAAGCGTTTAAAATACCTTGGCTATGACAGAGCCTGTTGTCTTGTACCCTACCTCAAAAATCAAGCCACAAATGCTTGTGTGGGGCAATGGACAATGTCAAATTCTTAGTCGACATCTTTCATGCGTCAAAGCATACTGAAGATGTTTAAATGCCACCAAACAACTCCAACTGCCTATACCATCCAAGCCTCCCAGCATTTGATCAAATCCGAGGAGCTAACACAGAATCTTGTGAGTAAGGATTCAAGCGACTCAACCAGTACTTTCTACTTACTAGAAAAATGACGCAGTTGAAAAGAAATGTCTTGTTCTGGTTTGTCAACGAAAGATTCAATGAAGATCTAGAGAGGGAGCTGAAACGCAAAGGTCTTCTCTGAATAAACGATTGTTCAACATATACTGTAAATCCCTTACCATTATATTGTTGACATATTCTTGATGCTCCATCACTGACTCAAACAAATTACATGCAATTAAATAGCATTTTCTTTTGCGTCAAATGCTTATTTGGACAGAACTTTGTAAATAGTGTTTTTTTTTTCAAAATTGTGACAATGATATTACAAATATTACTAAGCAATTTCTATTTATTCACGAAATAGAATATGTCACAGTTAAATTACACCGGCATGTTTTTGTGTAATAGTTTCAAAGAATTTCAAAATAATTCCAAGTTGATATACATATTACTTTTGACTAAAAACCAAACAGTAATTGTAGCAGTCCAGTACTATTCATGATGATGGTCTGCTTTAAAATTACAATTGGCAACATTCTTTATGTTACTGAAACTGAACATATTTGGTATTTGAGTTTTTATGTTTTAAAAAACATAGCTTAATAGTGAAAGTGCATGCACTTATCAAAAAAGAAAAAAAGGATTAGTGCAATTGTTCAGATGTTCAGTATAAGGAATATTTTWTCCTTCTTTTGTTTTATTACACGCATGGAATTTTGAGCAAGTCCTTTTCACGTGTTTTGTGTACATAATACATGAAGTATTTCATGTAATAGATCAAAGACGAGGGCGAGTGTTTCATCAGGGGATCCAAATACCGAGGAACTGATGAAAGCACGAGGCCGCTTTCGATGTGTTTGGATTCCCCTGATGAAACACGAAGAACGAGTTTTTGATCTGGCTTCTCAAACAAATTAATAATGCATGACTCATTAGCAATAAGAGGTATGTTTAGAAAACGAAGGAATTTGAATGATTCAATTCAATTCATTGTGAAATTTTCGTATATAACACTGGCTGAAGCTTCTAACGCGTGTAGATTTCGAACTCCCAAAGACRAAGAAGAAGAGTCCGCTTTGCTGGTGGAGTCGACACCAAAATCAACTTTGTACAWGACCAAATGGTCTGTTGAGCTTTTTAAAACGTGGCAGATATCCCGTAAAATCAAGTATCCTTCATTTGAAGTAGCAAACGCGTTTAAAGAGTGCAGACTCAGCGATGTGAAGGACGTAACGGAAGAATTGAAGGAAATGTTCGCGGTTTCTCTTAACTACTGGCTGTCTAAATTTATACAGGAAGTTGCTAACAAGAATGGAGGCCGATATCTCCTCGCACGTTGTATCAGATTGTGTGTGGAATTAAACGTTATTTAGAACAGGAGAATGGTGGTGCTGCYSTAAACCCKTTGGATAACAGCGATAAGAGGTAATTATTTTATTTTTTCATAATATTTTGTGTACTTTTAAGAATTGCTGCAAATTTATAAATAAAAGTAGTATAATCATTTTTTAATATGTTTTTTTGTTGTAGCTTTTTTATTTTCAGACGAATTCTAGATGCTGAGATGAAAGACGCAACTCGTGAAGGAGTCCATATTGCCACTAAGAAGCCAGAGAAAGAATCTGTGACTGATGAAGAGGAAAAGCTTTTCTGGGAGAAAGACCTTCTAAGCAAGAAAACAGCAGCAACTCTGCTACATACAATCTATTTCTACAATGGGAAGCTATTTGGATTGAGAGGGGCCGAGCACAGAAGTCTAACAGTGCAAAATTTTGAATTAGGCCCTAATTTCATCAAATTTGAGGAGAATACATCCAAAACTTTCCACGGGGGGCTCAAAGATCTCAAATACACTCCCAAGATTGTAAAGCATATTTGCCATAAAGTTCATAGCCTGCTAACAGGCGTTCCTGCTGGGGGGCCGAGAGAGAATGGGGAGGAGAGGAGCGGAAGGGAACGCCTGCAAGAGGCTATTGTTTGTTTGAAATACACCCCCTAATTAGCTATGCAAGAAGTGGACCAATTAAATTCAACTAGAAATATATCGGAAGTGAAAATCCACTTCCGATCAAAACATGGCACACGTGCGAACTTGTCAAAAATATCATGGCCGATGTATGCGATCCGAATGAAAATTGTAGATTGTGCAACTGTAATTTTCGAGTTAAATTTGGCGTGTCAGGAAAAAAAAGGATCGATTTCTTCAGAAAACTTATTTAAACCCTCTCAAAGACAAGGTTCTGTTGGCGTTATTTTAGCGCAAATTTGTAGAGATGTGGGGATTCCTATAGAGAACGACACGAAGAACTCCGATAAAGTCTGCAATCCCTGTGGCAGGAAAATCAGAAACTTAGGAGCTCTGTATCAATTTGTAAAGAAACACCAGACAAGAAAAGCCCGTCGTCGTGGAGAAAACCGGCCAAGTTGCAATGCAACGTCGCTTCTCCCGCCGCCAAATTAAGTAAAAAGTCACTTAAATTTAAAGAGAATGCAAAGAAAGACTTAGCCTTGGCGTGCCTAAACATAGATCACGCCGGGTCAGCTGTCACAAGAAAGTTATCATTTAGCGCCCGCGATTTTTTACGTTCAGCGGTTTTAAACTTTAAACTTTAAACTTGGACAAAACAAGATCTATGTTAATAGGGAGTAGCAAAAAACTCTCTGCAATTTCGTCTTTTTCATTGACTATTTTTGAATCTAATGTTAAAAGTGTTTCTAGTTTCAAGTATCTTGGAATTAAGCTATCCGC